ATAGTAGTATATATTATTATATATATATATATATATATATATATATATAAAACATTTATATATAAATTTATATGTAATTTATTTTAAAATAAAAATTTTGAATTTATATAAAAATTACAAGTTAGAAACTTTCAATTTTTGTATTAATTATACTATTATAAATAAGTTTAGTTGATTTGTATTGAAATACTTACTTGAAGTCTTTCCTCAGCTCTTGTTTCTGCATCTTTGGCCGCTTCTTCAAGCATTAATATGCGCGCCTGTAATGTTGCATTTTCTTGTTTTGCTCTAGCGTACCTCTCCTCGCCAACCGACTTGGTATCCGCTAAAGCATCCATTTGCTCTTGAATCATTTGAACCTGTGACATTTAAAAAGAAGTTTGATATATTTCACATCAAGGTAATCGCGTTCGTATTTCACTCCAGACTCTCTAAAGCGAGTCATTTCTAAACTACCGCGATATAAGTTAATTTCGATGGTATGTTAAATATATTGATTTCACTTTATTAACGTTGTCAAACAAAACTTTTGTTTGCAGAAAATGATATAAGGATCCTATAAATATACTTCATTGTCATTTATAGCTCTTAAAGATATCTGGAGAATTAGTTTGACCATAATTTGACCATAATTTAAATCTTCACAAATTGTTGTATTATGAGAGAATCAGTAAAGCATAAACTTTTTGCAGGATAAGTTAAAAATAAAATGCCCTTTCTTGGAAACGATCTTTTTCGAAAATATAAAGATTTTTTTATTTATGAAATTTTCACTATTTGTCAATAAGACAAAGAACTAGAAATACTTTTTACAAACATTTAAGAATACAAGAAATTTGTATATAACAAGAGTATTAATACATGACTAATTAATGTATTGATAATTGATAAAATCTGCTTTAAGGCTCGACTCTTTCGTTGCAGCCATATTGAATTATGACGTCACTAATGCAAAAAGTTTCTTGTCAACCGTATAACTTTATCTTGTATTTTTTTCCTTAAAAATATATTTTCATGTTTTTAAAATTTGTAAAAAATACCAGAAAGTAAAATATCTGTCTGATAAATTACGTAAACGTGTAAAATAATTTTTTACAAGTTTTAAAAATATGAAAATATATTTTTAAGGAAAAAGTGCGAAATAAAGCTGTACGACGCAAGAAACTTTTGCATCATCGCGTCCTTTTTCATCTCACATAATGTCATGTCGCGTCGTGAGAGAGTCAAGCCTTAAATATAAGAAATCATAGATTTATTACTTATTCACTTATAAATAGGTACGATGGAAAATTAGAAAACTGATATTTCTTTTTTTAAACAAGGAAAGTGCGATATAGAGGATCAAAAATCTGATATCGGTTACCGAAGAGACAAAGAGCCAAGTACGAATCAATCAACTGATAGACATGAGAAATGCGTGAATAGCATTATCTATGGTAGATGTTTGGAGAAAGTATATTAGAGAAAACATGTATTCCCTGCACTATCGTAATTATCAATGGTACTATCAATGGGCTACTTACGATCTTCTTGCTTCTTTTTACTTGGCAATTCGTACGCGTGCGTCACAGAGTACGAGAAAGTATAATCGTCGATTTTATGGTGTCCCACCATCCGATATTATATTTTACAAGTTATGTCGTGCATAACAGCAGTGCTTTACACGTAATTAGAAATACTTGTCGCTATGATCATTGAAAAATATGACATTTGCGATAACGATAATCAAATTGATACGGCTCTAAAACGTTCACAATTACATAGTATATCGCATAAACTCCTTACTATCGTCGTTCTTTCATGTGATATCTCTCTCTTTCTCTCTATCTAAGATAATATATAAGAGAGTAAGATAATTATCGATGCGAAATTGGATATATTCCACGGATTAGATATACGTTTTAATGATGAAGACGCCCCAGAATAGCCTCTACGTTCGTTGCGAGAATAGATACGCAATGACAGTTGAATATGTAATACGCAATAATGTACACTCTTGTGTCTCTCGACGGTAGGGAAATTTAGCGGAGAATCGCGAATAAATTCAAAGATCCAATAATCGTCGGATGTTTCCCGCCACGCCGGGGGGGTTGTTCGCTCTCCTCTTACTTGCTCGCTGAGCCGGTATCCTCGGCGATGAGGTAGCTTTCGGTCGTTGTTTGGCGGCCACGGGGACAGTGGCTGTGGCTGTGGCGGTGGCGGCGGCCGTTGCTCTCCCACAAATTGAAACTGGCCCTCCCACAAATCGTACTCGAGGTCGGCGCCGGGTCCGGAGGACGGCCCCTCCCCGGAAAACGGCGCGCGGAGGTCGTCGCGCTCGCCCGGGTCGGTCGTCTCCTCGCAAAAGTTTAGCTCCATCGCACGTCGCGCTGTTCCCGTAGACCCGGCCGCTCGTGTTTATCACGTCACGTCATCGCCTATATCGCGAGTGCACTTCGTTATCCCCGCACGCGAACTCCTCCCTCGTCGCCGTCACCGTCGCCCGCGTCGCGACGTGCGGCCGCGCCGCGGTAATACGCATCGAGAACGTGCTTTGGGATCTCCTTCCGTGCGAAGTCACGCGCACTTCCACTACGTCCTAGGCGATTCTACGTGCCAAGAATACGTTCCGAGTCTCCTGTTCGTACGTCTCTCTCTATCTCTCTATCTCTCTCTCTGTCTCTCTCTCTCTCTATCCGATCGCCCACCTCAAGCCGGGAGTCTGGGGAATAGTTACCGAGGCTATTTGTGCGCTTCATACCGCGTGTCGGTTAACTCTACACTTAACAGCTCCAGCATTACGTCGAATGTGGCTTAGCCCATCCTTATGCCTCCTTTCCTTGTCCACGACACCCACCGGGAAAGTATTGCTGGTACAACACGTTATCTTTACAGAGATGGAAATCGATGTGATACCTATTATGCAAGGATTTTGTCGCTGCAAATACATGAAAGTACCTATTTCCTATTTATGATGAAAACGTAAGTAATTGTCACGAAGTTAATTCTCCAGGAAACGTTCTGCCCCGGATGTGAAAACCATAATTTTCGTCCTTTCTATTAAAATTAAACTCTATCGCAGGGTGATACGGTCTTTCTCAATCGAAGCTGCATTTGCAAAGCGTGGACAGTGGTGATAATAATATCACACCGATAATGCGCGTATCGATCGATAAAAAATACACGCCTCTAATCGCGATCAAACGTACATTTGACTCCGACTCGCGTTTCACGACGGTCATCGGCGACGGAGAGATGCCGAAAGATGTTCTCCAGGCTGACATGTACGAGATAACATTCACTCACTCGTTGCATCACACGCAAGTGTGTCGGCGCGTATTGCACATCAAAGTTGCAGGCACTGACCAGTTGTCTCGCACATTTGCATGAGAAACACGGTCACGCACGCGCACACGCACAGGGACACGTGTCCTCGCGAAGAGTGCACGTCACAGGTCTGTTCTCCATCTCCCATAATGACTGTTACTTGTGACTGTTGTACAATTTAATATCCGCGCGGTTACAATCTGTCACCCTTCAATTTTATGTTACAACAACAAACAACCAAGTATAATTGATCTCTCTTCATATTCACTTGAATATTCTCTTCATATTCAGTTTCAATAAATACAATCATCTAAAACTTATTGACTTTTTTTATATCAATTACATCAGGTGAACCTAAAATATTTCAGAAAATTCATATTTTAACAACTTAAATTCTTGGACCAGCCGAAGTTTAATAAATCCCGTTTTAATAACTGCGCTATTACAATATCACCTTGTCAATAACACTAGATTAACTTACTGTTTAAGGCGTCATATATATATATATATATATATATATACATTCATGTATTTTTATTGATTAATTATCGGTTCGATTTTTCTGATTGTCTAATAAATTTTCTGAATTATATTTGAAAGGAAACCATGAATTATTTTCTTCTACATGCAAACAGAGAATCTCTCATTGTTGAGTTCACGTTGACTGAAGATTACTTTGGTCATGATGTCAATCTCTTATAGGTTTTGCATCCCAAATAAACGATCCATCCCGCAATCAGTAGAAAATTCACAAAGGACCATCCTGCCCATTCGAACAAATCTGCGAATTGCATCGGGCAGGCTATGCGTACACTTACGTCCGCGTACACAAAACTATGTCGTGATAAACAGATTAGCGAGATCGCGAATGTGACTTGCAATTTCACTGTTGAACGCTGATGGTTATAGTTCACATTTCCATGTATCGGAATTTTACGTGACTCGCGACAAAATTAAAATCTGCATTGAGTCAAATCGAGTCTCAATTCGAATTAGTCTCGACAAATACCTGTCTTTCGCTACGATCTATTTTACTTGGGCACACGCAAACTTGCCAATTTAATTGACGACCCATCGCGATAACGTCGCCATTTGTATGTTTGGTATGTTTATACGTATGTCCAATGTGATAGGCATCTGTTCCATTTGCACGAAATTATCTGCGAAGTGTATAAAACTTTGCGTGTAACAAAACTATGTGTTATGTTCTAGAATTAGCCGGAAATTGTTACATCGGATATCGAATTCGGTGCAATTTGAACGAGATTTAATCAGAAACAGAGCAGAATATTATATTTTGAATCACGAATTTTGGAATATTTTGTATATATTTTTTGCTGTTCTATATATTAATAGAAATAAGTCACAGTTCAAGCGAAGAAAAATGTGGAAATTTATCAACGTTATGAATGAGTTTTTGACTTAAAAATGAGTAAAAAAATACAAATTAAAAGTTACAAATTTTACTCACTTTGTGACTGAGATCCATGACATCCTCCAAAGATACATCACTATATACATCATCCGTAGGGTCGTAATTTGAACCCATTCCTGAACTGTTGAAGCTACCACTGCGATAGAGCTGACTGCAAATGTTGAAGAATTCTTTTAATATTTCATAAAGGAACAATCAACATTATAAAGCAAAATTTCAAAATTGTTCTCATATAAAACTATTACATATTACAACTACGCGCGATAATTTAGAAAGTTATTTAAAATGTTAAAATTACATGTAACAAAGATGAGAGAGAGAGAGAGAGAGAGAGAAGAAAATATCTATAACTAAAAAGTAATTAATTATCAACGATTATTAAGCAAGTATGATTCGTGAAAGTTTTCCTGATTAAAGATAGGTCGTGAAAGTTCTACCAATTAAAAGATGCGTTTTCCATTAGTCAGTTTATAATTAAAAAAAAAATTTTTTTTTAGTACGTATTTTCTTTTTTTTTTTTTTTTTTAATTTGCGACTAATTACGTTTTTCCTCTTTGATGATTGTACGTGTATCGTCGAATTGTTTTCTTTCCATTTTGGCGAACGGATAAGACACGTAGCTGGAAGTAACGATGGTAGTGTGGAAGGAAACAGAAATATCGAGGTAAATCGCGGATACATGAGTAACGTAACAGAAGCACGCCCACGCTTTAGAAAGTCCACCGATTTGAGTTCCGTGAAAGGAGCGACTTCGGAAATTATTAGCCTTGACGCAGAAGTATCATCCTACAGTCGGCAAACTCTTTTGTCCGAGATATTCATTTCTTCAAAAAAAAAAAAAAAAAAAACAACGAGAAATAGTAAAAAAGAGACAATAATGTTTACTAGTTCAACTGGAAATGACAATGATAATACATCTATAAATGTAATGTAATGTTGTCTTCTTACCTTGCTAAAGCGTTGGTGCTGAGTCTCTTTCTGCCCGAACTGCAAATACACGAAAATATGTCCCTTAGTGTTTATATTCATTTAGATTTTATTACAGGATGCTTATTTATAGATTAAACTTTCGAATTTCATTTGCGTTCTTAGTTGATCACGCGGTGCTAAATTTCACGGTCAAACGCTTTGATCGTAAGCCAAATCATCATTTCTATAAAGAGAGTCGCGAAAGCAATTGCGACAAATACACATAGATATATACATATTATTTTTCTAAGAAACCGAATTCGCGTACTATCAAATGCAAGGGGATATTATACGCAATACATAAAATATACATATACATTTGTACCACTGAAGATGATTCAAATTCGAGTTAAAAACGTTTGGCACTTTTTATTAATAAATATAGTTAAAATTACTTTATTAATTAAATTAATGAACGTAGTTCAAAATATATTTGCGCACTATTTACATAGCGTTGATTCTCGTTAGATTTATTATCGTCTATTATTATTAAGAAAATATTACTGAAAATAATAATTTGATAGTACTTCCTCTGTTTCAATATTTTGATTGCGAGTAATGAACGATGAAAGAGCAGGAAGTGATTGTTTCAGTAATAATGTTCCATACAAAAATTCGCTTCCGTCATTCCGCATAGGTAAATAACTAGAAATACGCGGACGCTTCTCAAGAAATTTAACAGATTTATCTTGCTGTCGTTGCATTAACAACGTTATTTAACGTCAACGCCAGTCGTTTTCCCACGAAACTCTTTTCGCACGCCGTTCCGAGGCGGAATTATCATTGTCTCGTCGTCGCGCTTCTTAAGAGCGAACAGCGGAAATTCTCTTCGGACGGAAAATTACGCGTGTACAACGCACAGGGAACGCAATGCTCGTTGCAGGATGACATGTCGTCCTCTTACCAAGGAGGCGTTCTCCGCAGTGATGTACGCAGCCAGGAATGTCTTCCAACAGTAGAGTTCGGACTCCTTGGATTTCTACAAAGGCAGAAAATGCAATGTAATCTAAGTCTGTATTGCAAAGTTAACAGAAATTTTCTCGCAAAACGATGAGTTTGCAATTCAAAGAATTCATTCTATACATCATAAACAGTTAATGATCGAATGAAATACTAAATACTAGATGTCTACTAAATGTTAAAATCTATATTAAAATTTATCAAGTTTTTATTATTAAAAAATTATGTTAAATCTAAAATGAAAATTTTTTTCGAAAACACATCAAGAATAGCTGGCTCTTTTATTGGAATTTTTGGTTTAATATTAAATATATCAAACAAGTTTCTCGAATAATCTGTATCTAATTGCGCAAACATATACACAACAAAATCGGTTTTGTATAAACAAATATTTTTTTGTCTCATATTAATTTTGCATAACAATCATCATTTTTTTTCTTATGTGGCATATTAAAATGGTAGACACAAAATGCATGCGTCAACCAAAAACTTCATGTTGCAAGTTAAAGATCAGATGTTTAAATGTTGGATTTGACAGAAAAAGTATGACGCGATCAACAGGAAATCATTATCGAGAATACTTTGACATAACGTGAATTATCGCTGTTAGGTGATTTTTAAAAATACGTTTCCATTATTATATAACCCATGTGACTTGCGGATACAGACATGGCAAGTCAGATCGGTATTGTTCCAAGGTGATAGGCATTGTGTGCAGCGATACTCTTACGTAAATTCAATCAACGTAAAAATGTACGAGTGTGCTTCAGATTATATCGTATTTTAACGTTTCAGCATTCGCACCATATATTCAGCTTTGGAAATCATTCGTTATATTCCGCGAGTGAATTGAATGTTACATATCGAGCAAATAACGGCAGAAAGCAATTGACATGATAGAAGGCCCAGTTCGCTTTTGCTCTCTTCTTGTCTAGATTAGAATTGCGAATTCGGAAATTCGGAGTATGCCAATACGTATGTTCGAGTGAATGTCGTTGCAATTTAATTTCTGATATTCAGAGTAATCGTTATACAATAAATTATCGCTTGAAATGAAGACAAATTTGGAAAAAAAGAAAAAAAACTCAAAAAATCCAATCATTTTCTTAAGATACTCATAAGTATTTTTAAATTATAAATTTTATTAAAATAATTTTCTTGAAATAATTACATTAATCAATATACATACAGACACTATATGTATACATGGAATAGAAATAAATAACCTTCAATTAATATTAATTTATTTATCGTTACCATTTAACGTATTTACCATTTTGTATTTATTTTTTATATTAACATTTTTATTTTATTGTTAAGTGAATTTTTTCAATCGATAGATTTTGTCGATTATTTTCAATATGAAATTAAAACATTACAATAAACATTACAATTATTTTTAACATTATGTCTAGCGTCGCAGACGTAGACAGAAAATTATTTGTCTCGTCACGAAATAATCTCAAATTCTCGCGATTCGAAATCTTCACACAATCAAAGACGGGTCATCACCTGTGCGAATTGATACCGGTTGGCGAGGGTGCGGAACTGCTACCGCCCGGCGAATCCGGCCCGTCGTCCACCGACTCGCCCTCGACGAAGCCGAAGCCCTCGTAGCTCTCCTCCTCGTCGTGGGAGCCGATTTTGATCGCGGCGGCGGCGTTGGTCGATGCGGCCTGATGCTCATCCGGACTCGCAGAATATCGCCCCGAGTCCGAAAGATTTGAACTGACGAGATTGTGCAAGTCGACCGACATCGAGAGCGAAGGCGGTCCACTCTGGTTCCACTCCTGGGGACCGACTTCGTTCGTCATTCTGTTCTCGTCTTCGCGCGACGCGGCCGCGCCGTCGGCCACGCCGCTACCATTAACGGTGGCCGTGATGTTTACGCTGGACGTGCGGGAGCTTACCATCCTTGGACCCCGACAGAATATTCGCGTACGTGCACGCAACGAGAAAAAACGCTTTCATCCGCCGCCACCGTCGCTGAAACACCATGTCCGTGAGTCAGACTCGAGATATGTCAGGAACGCGTCGTGAGTAACTAGCGGTGTATCGGAAGAGAGAGAAAGGGGAAGAAGAGAGATGCTGGAGAATCTAGTCGAGTCGTTGTCCGCAAGAAATCCTCCTCATCCCCCTCATTCTCCGACCATTCTCGGAGTCGGAATCGCAATCGTTTGTAGTAAACTCATGTGTAAACTTGATGTACGCGAAAATCTTTTTTATACGACTTAAATCGTTTTGAGAAGAACGTTGTTATCTTTGTTGGAGATAATAACGAGACAAAAGCAAAATGCGCACTCGACGTCGGGTTTGGAATGCAATTTCATCCCGTATTTCACACCGCGTTCATTGTATTAATCATGTTACGTCAGTTTCCTGGCGAAATTGTGCAACAAAAACAACATAATGTTCTATAACTCCAACATCGTGATTATATGCTAACGAGATAATACAACTATGTGGAACAGAAAGACGACAAGATCACAAGATCTCTCACCTCGCGTTAACAGCTAAATGATGTGCGAGATTAAAACAAAGAAAACATATAAATGTCTAAAAATTTTACACTCACAAGGAAACAAATCAACTATTCCCCCCCCTGATTTAGGTATGCTCAAAAATATAATATTTTTGAAAAATTGCACTACTCTTTGAAATAATTCGGGACTCAAAAAGGAGGAAAAATAAATTAATTAATTAAATTAAATAACTAAATTCCGGACCCATACATTTATATAGCTTTTTCTCCTTCTTTTTGAAATCTCAATCATTTCAAGAAGTAGTGCGAGTGAGTTTCCGGATATCATATATTTTAACCAAATTAACACAGTCCACGAAGAATTGCGAAAAATGTAAGGCGCCATCGCTCGTTCATGAAATTTATGCTAAAAAGAATCCTTTCTGATCTTTCGCCTTTTTCTGGCGCACAACGCTTGCTGATATTGACTGAGTGAACCGACCGATCGTTATTTTAATGAGGTAAATATAGATATTGCCTGCCTAGATATGGAATGATGGTGAGATATTGAGATACCTTCGAGTTTATTCAATGTATGCATTCTAGGGATGCAGAGTAGGAGGAAAGCGTGAGAAACTGGCGGGGAAGTCACGGTACAGTGAATACCGAACCTGCGAGAATCGTCGAACGAGAGAATAACTTGTCTAGATGAATTATTTACGATATCCGTGTGGTTATATAGTTGGGATTAGTCTTATCTCTGTTTCTTGCACCTCACAAGTAACCTATATGTATAATCATACAGTTGACAACTGCTTAGTCTTATCTCTGTCTCTCGCGTTCCGCAGGTGACTCACAATTTCATTCAAGCTTCAATACCACGGGAGTTCTGTGCCAAATCCAAGAATTTCGAACAATTGCGTGGCGTAAATTGATTTGATTACGCGTAAATTTTTGACATTTTGTGTAAAACGGTGGGCGGCGAGTAAATATATTTTATCAATCTTATTGAGAAATCTGGAAACCCCGCCGTTTATTTTGCTTTAAGAACGCTACTTGGGAGACAAAGCGGTTCTTATTGTTTAACGTGAAATCGTCATTGGTGAATCAGCGATGCGAAAGCATAAAAGAAGAATTTCGCTAAATAAGCATGAGTAATGTATATCGAATGTAAAATATATAGTGTTCTACATTTAAGGCTCGATTCTCTCTTTACACAAAAATTATGCAGCCTATACCGCAATCTGTACAGCCTACAAAACTGATATTGCTAGACGAAATATGAAGATGAAGAAACAACAAGTTGAGTTTATAGAATTAGGCTAAATATCTAATGTGAGTACAAAAAGTATTAATTTGTTCATATATGTGCAGAAATATATGTATAAATGTATGTATGTATATATACATAAATGTATGTACGTTTAGTATATGCAAATGCTCTCGTTGGAGTTCACTCGTCAGTTCACTTTAAAGATACAACGCTTTAACAGCGGCACAGATGATAGTAGCATCGACAGATCATTTTATTGATCGGTCGAACGGTATCGTTCACGCACGTGATTCATGATGCATGTGCCATATGTGTCATGAACGATAGCTATTATGTTTAAAAAAGCTTTTAATGTACGATAATCATATTAACTGTTATATATTAACTGTTATGATAATTGCTAACTGGAACATCGCCAAATGTATTTCTTTTTGTCTCTTTTTAATAACATTTGTTTATATTTAAATATCAGTATCGCGGAAAGTGAAAAGTGTCATTTAGTGAAAAAGAAAACTACATTCGGCAGATTCAGTTCAAGATCTTGATTATGCAACAAACTGTAATATTATCTGTCACCATACTAGCAAAAAAAGAGAATAAGGTTAAGAATTAATATATTATTTTTTCATTATTTTTTTTCCCTCAGATAGAAAAATTGCATGTATTTTTTCTGAGAAATAAAGATTACTGTATAGAACAATTCGTTCAAATATAGAATATAAAATGTGAAGCTATTTTAATTTGTAATACTGATTAAATTGACGTCAAAAGCGACGTCCTCAATGAAAAACGTTGGTGCTCAAGGAATAAGGATAATCGAAAAGATGATTGCAAAGATGACCTGATAATCGTACAGTTGTTATAAAAGTACTTCAAGCCATCTGAAGCCTGTCATGGCGAAAGAGGATTAATGGAGCTCTTGCGTTACAATAAATTGGAAATCGAAATCGGATCAAGGAGATTTGTACATAATGTATAACGCCGCGTAATAATGTATATCGTAATGTATATCGTATTCCATATAAATACATTAGTGATTAGGAACCAATAACCGCGCACTGTACTCGTTCGCTCTTTAAATATGTTGTTAAAATTAGTTTTGCCCGTATTTACAGTGGATGTGAATTTTGAATCGATGCAAAAGTAAATTTAATAAGAACATTATTAACAATAACATAGAGTTGCGATTAATATGGCGGTAAAAATATGGAATTCTGTGTATTCTAAACTTAGCTTACCATAAACTTTTGGCGAATCAATTCATTTTTTAAATAAATTCTCGAGTATTTTTTTATAAATAAATTATTTATTTGGTTAATTTTAATCAACTTTGGACAAATTTATTTTTTATTAACCAACTTTATTTATCGATTACTAAACTGTTAATTGACTTAAAAGGTTAGTTAATTTCAACTTCTATATAAAACTTTGTATAATTTATATAAATATAAAGAAAGATAAGTGTTATGCTACGTACACTTTCAAAAAAAAATTATGTTAAGCCTAGTCTTGTGTATCACATTTTAGTACGAATTATAAATTTTTTTTCAAACACTAGATGCATTTGGTACTTGATTTATCCGCATTAATTTGCAAAGCGTATCCGCAGTCCGTTTTTTTACATAGCTGAATGATACGAATGGCAGACGTTGTCGTGCAGTAATCTGGTTTTATAGCGTTTATTATGAGCCACGCTCGAACTGTTTACTAAACACGTAGTCAAAAGAGGACCAGCGTTTCTCCAGGCACTTGTCACTCGGAACGGAATGTGTGGATGCATTTCGAATCGCGGTAAGCCGAGATTCCAGTCCGCCTATTTAGAGCGAGCACGAAAGTGTGGACGGGGAGAAGATATATTTAAAGTGCACGAGAGAGTTCCCGATACCTAATCTTCGTTCTCTAACGACACGAGGATATCACTGGCATTCGTGCAATCCTGCCTGCTCGTATCCTTGTATTTTACCTGGATCAATCGCTTATCGACAAACGGATAAGTCCTCTAGCGATTTTACCAGTCTACTTACTTTAGATTCAACAATTGATTCCGAAGAACATCATGAGATTACTTTTACGAAGTTACGATTACTTGTTCCCTTATCTGTTTTATTTTTTTTTCCTTAGTGAAATTTATTTTTATTAACGAATTAAAATAATTAATTATTATTTAAATTATTTTAATTATTAAATTATTTTAATCGTTCCTCGAGAACTCTCGCGAGATTACTTTTAAAATCCATCACCTGTTGACTCACATTTGCATTTTTATTTCTTAGAAAAATTTGATGGATTAATGACTGAATCATTTTGAGTTTTATTTAAATTACTAGCATCACTACTTTACTAGCATCTAGTAATGCTTAGTGATTTAATTATACAGAATTCGTATTATTTTCATAAATATTTTATTAAGATTTCAGAGATTAAATATTTGCATTAAGAATTAATATTAATATTAAAATTTTGATGTATATTTTTGTATCAATAATAAAATTATTTATGCTACTGCAAAGAAATCAATTTTTTAGATAAAATACTAATAATATTAATATTTCAATATATAATCTAATGTTTCTCAATCATTGTTGAAATCTATTCTATGAGGAAATAAAATACAATTGTAAAGTAAATTGAGTTCTGACTTTAAATATCATAAAATTTATGAGCCTTTTTTAATGTTAATTTTTTAATAAAATACCTTGTTTATCTTCCTTGTTCATTTTTTTGCTTATGAAAATTTAAAAATCATGCAAGGATAACTTTGGTGTGGCATATGAATTATAATATGCTTCAAGATTTTTGATATTCGTGAATTAATTATTCGTCTAATAAACTAACACAAAAATAGGTAAATATAAATAATATAATAAAGTGTCCTTTTATTTGAATAAAAAATAATATCTTTTTAACATATTTGAAGTTTTCTTCAGATGACTTCACAGTCAAGAAACGAACATGATTAAGAAATTGAATGCTAGACTAGAACGAGCGAGCACGCTCTATTTCCAAAGTGAACATGCTTATATCGCACACATGTCGAAATTAACAATTCTTCGGACTGAGATACATATGTATACATATGTATGTATTATAAAAGTGATGTCGATTACGAGAATGATCGAAGGTCTGTACGATAGAATTTACAGCGCAAAGTGACATGTTAAACGCTCGTTTGCATCCAATCGCGCATTCATGCGACGTCAACAGAAACGAAACGATCTCTGTCTCTCGTCAATGATATTTGCTTTTTAGACGCGAAAGATGTCCATTGTGCGCTTCGATCAATTCGGAGTCAAGTTTTCATCATTAAAAATATTCGATATCAACAAAAATTGATAATTCACCGTTACCGCGGAATAGAAATTCTTTTTTACGAACTGAGTGAAAATGAGCGAATGAGCGAGTGCCTGTTTTGCCTTGATTTGCGACCTACTTGCAAAAATATGTTGCGCTTGACATATAAGATCGGCAATTTTGACGATCAACAATTTTCTGTCAACTTCGAATTGATCGAGGATTTTCGATCGCGGACTCCACGCGGGTCATCACGAGAGTGGTACTCTTCCAGGCACGAAAGCAGCACAAGTGAGAGTTTCCTGAAACTCAACTCACCTCACGTCGGTCTTGCGGTGCAACACAATAGCGGCACGTATATTCCGCACGTTTGCGGAGCCGCCGACCACTTCCAATACCTGTGCTCGCGCGATGTGTCGCGATGTGCCGACGGGACGTAGCGCGATACACTGCGCGCCGACGACGCCGTTACGGAAATACCGAGATAGAGCGGGACGAATGACGAGACCGAGATGCCCACGGGCGCGCGCGCGCGATCAGGATAACGGTGTTACCAGGATCGGCGACGAACTGAGAGCATAGGACACGGACGTGGAGTCACGACGTGAAGAAAACGCGGAGCGTCGGGGGGATCCGCGGAGCTACGAATGGTGGGAACGCATGCGCTCTCCGCGAAACCACCGTGCACCAGCGCCGGTCGGTGATGTATACGTGCGATCGGTCCGTGCACCGATTACGGTAGTCGCACAGGTATGCGTCACGGTCGTATCCGCCAGGTACGAGAAAGCACCAGTGTCGCTCAACCGTGTCGCCGCGTCGCCGATGGAATTGCAAGAGCGCGCGTTTAACACTGGGCGACTCGGCTGATGACCTACCTAGAGCTATACAGTCCGACTGTAGAGGAGAAGGTGGTATTATGCTCCCCTCCGTTTACATTTTGTACGATACTTATACACATACACGCGCGCACACAGACATGACGTTCGTGTAACCTACACAGCCTCTATGCAATTATTTCTACTTGTATAGTGCAAGCCGAATAGCCTCTAATGGATATTTATATTATACGTGTGCACTTCCACTGAACCTCCATTACATATCTATGTAGATATATCTCAAGGAGATGGATAAATTATGGAATATTTCATGGCATTTTCATAGATAATATACGAAGGTTAACTTTTCAAAAATTTTCTAGAGTCTTTATAAATGATCGCTGTAATAATAACAATAAAGAAATTAAACAATTATTTATAAGTTTATAAGTATTATAAAGTTATAATAATTTCAATCTTAAAGCTGAACATCCATTGATTGATCTCCATAAAATCTCTATGAGCCTATAGTCTAATGGAAATTTAATAGAAGTTAGAAATGCGGAACCGTAGATGTCTAATAGACATCTAAAACAAGGTTAGATATCTAACGGAAGTTATGAATCTTCATGGTGGATATTTATTGGTGAACGTTCGTTAGAGGTTCCATGTGGATTAATAATCAATATTTTAAATTGGAAACTTAATGATTTGTCAAAATGTTGTCCAATCAATTCTAGATTCAAAATTATGAAATATTTATTACTTAGGACATTATTTATAAAAATGTAGCGACATTGCAGAAAATTGGGCTGAAAAGGAACAAAGATGTAACATGACTCCCCATTAAAATAGATTTAAAAAAAAATTGCTTTTGTTTTAAAAAAACAATGTTTTGTTATAAAATTATATATTTATTTAAAATAAATTTGTAGAAGGAACAACAATGAATATAACTATAAATTTTTATGTAGGTACTAGCTTACTTATCAGAAAATATAAACTGTCAAAAAAATTGTTTCTATAAAACAGATAAACTTCTAATTTAACTTGAATTATTGATTTCTCAAATTCTCTTTTTATTTTAAATTAAAATGCTTCATAAAAAATGTTATTTATAAAAATTATAAACATATTCATCTTTTTCCGTTCCAAAGCAAATGATGTATGTCCACATTTCATATATTGGTGTTCCAATATTTACTACCGGTATATTGGAAATCTACGTAATACAAACTATACATTTTCAGTACGGTAGTAAATATCGGAATGCACTGCATACACATTCAAATGTGAACTATAAATTAGTAATAAAGTTATAATCGACCTATCGATTTATAATACTTCGATATCAAAATCTCGAAAAAAAACCGTATGGGGCCATATTGGCAAAGTGCTATACTATTGTTTAATTTTACATAACTCAAAGTATGAACAATTGAATAAAATGTTAAATAATGAACAAAACACTCTATACATATACACATGTATTCATGTAATAATACACATAAATTTAAGAATAAGGAAGTATGTATTGTTAAATGCTAAAATATACTTGGAAAATGTTTCAAAAATAAAAAATGTATTATAACAAATTATATAGTTATTAGGCATATTAACGTCACTATTATATGCAGACTATTAACAAATGATTTTATAATCACCAAAATTCGCTATCTAATAATAGATGTATTAAGAGGAGCCATTATTTTTATAAAGGCCATAACACCATCTTCTCGCGTGTGTGTTTTTTATATATACCATATATTATACATGACCTGCGCACAATAGACGCATTCTCGTACTGTGATGACGTAAATTTATGAAAAAAACTACCTTCATCAAAATTCTTTTGCCCGGAAGAATAGAGGAGCATATTTGATTCCTTCTTTAGCATATATAATTCCTTTCTTTTCAGATGAGTGACCTATCAATTATGCTTCGTAAATGTACGACGAGAACCTTTCAATTGTTCAATGATTAAATTTTATTTTCAGCACTGGTACAGCGCTGAGATCAATCGATTTTGCATGGAAAAAATATTCCGACAAATTTCCGAAAAAATTTATAATCATTCTTTGAGGAATAAGGATGCTTCATTTATATATATCGTGTATACATGTATATACATATTTATATATTTATATTCTATTTATTTATATTAAATTTATAAATAATATATATAATATTTATAATATTTGTAACATGTATATACATATACATGTAAATGAAGATTTTTTTTTATTTCTCAAATTCAAAAAGTAATACGAAACTACTGTTTTTTCGTGCAACCATTCTGAACGTAAATAATGGCATATGAGAAAAAAAACTAACTTATTTCGATGTATAGCATAAACAGAAAATTCACGTGATTTCTTGTGTTTGTTATCGCGACGTAATATGGTTGCAGCGAGAAAACAGGAGATTCGAAAATTAATGCTGACAGTTAAGTCTTTGCTGTTTGTTCGCTATCAGTGGTCTTCTTGTAAACTTCCTTATAAACGAGTTCCTGCATCTGCATCCTAAGCAGCATCCTGCGGTCGGCCGGTAGAGTCCTGATATGCGGTAATAGGCTCATCAGGAAATAGTAATTGTCATCAAAGCGATTGCCCTCGAGTGGATCGACACCGGCAAGGCCGACGCCGGTATCACTATCGCTCATTAAGACCTGTTCGGGCGAGATATTCTGCAGCATCATCTCGTTCTCTGCCAGATTATCGGTAACGCTCTGAAACTCCAAGTTGTCAAAGTTTTCCTCGGGCTCGCGTTTCACATCTACCGTGCCGCGCCGACCGTCACCGTTATCCAGCTTGAGCTGGTGGTGATGATGATGATGGTGGTGGTGATGATGACCGACGTTACTATCGCTGGCCATCGATAGCAGATGATCGGCGATCGCATCCCGATCGTCGAGACCGCCGTCAATACCGGAAGTCGGAATGCCATTTTCACCTTCGCCCTCGCTCGGCTGCAGTTCGTCTTCCGTCTTCGCGACACTGCGCTCCCATATCGGTGGTCGTGGCAACATCTGCTCCTTGAGGAATTGGAGGCTCTTGAAATGGATCCATACCGGCCGATTTCGGTGGAATTTGCTTTTGCGGTATACCTGGTCCTTCTTTAACTCGGCACGGAATGTGTCACGCAAACCTTTCCACTTCGCCTTCAGCATCGGCTCTGCAAGCAAAGAACCGGAAGTTTGCTTTGCAGGCGAATTCAGTGATTTGCACCTTAAACATCTCTCTCTCGTTCTCTCCCCCTCCCTTCCTCCCTCTTTTCCCTTTAAAAAAAAAAAAAAAATCAACTTCCGATTTGAATAACCCATTTCCGTTAGAAACCAGGAGTTGAAAATGTCACTATTCGATAGCGTCCGATTTACTTATTCAAATTTTTTGGATTTTTGATAGAAACCGTTTACCTCGATTTTAAACTAAAAATGAAAATAAGAAAAAGTTCCAAAGGTTTTTATTTTGACAAATGTTATCAACGTCATGACTCCGAACAACATTTAAAAGATAAAGATGAAACGATGTAATAGTTAATGGCGCTAATAGGGCGTTCTCCGAATGTCACGATACGTAATGATTTTCGTATTCTTTTTATATATCATACTGAACTATGTATCTATTGAAAATCTATAATATATGTAAGATAAAATATAAATGTTCAATATTAATAATATATACGATCTGTTCTTTCTAGTTGAAAATTTGCATACCATTCATCTTTTTTTTCTCTTTCTACGTTAGAGAGATAAAGAAAAGATGAATGACGCAAGTATTATTCCTAACCAAATATTAAACAAGAACAAATGATAATCATGAATGTTGCGAGCATAAATGGAACTGCCATACTACATGGTATGCGTCAACGATGCATAGTAAACAAGAAAGATACTCAAACTATCGCATAACATAGAATAAGGATTAGGACAGAAAAAAAATAGTATATCTTTTCTTCTAGTGACTGGAGGTAGTCGAGATATCAAGCGCACATGTATGTGTGCTGCTGCGTGCTCCATCATCGGTTTTTTCGTGCAGCAGACTGTTTTCAGCATCACGGTTCTTCTGAATTCGAGGTTCGATCGATGTTACGATCGTGACAGGATGATTTTGTTCTAATCTGCTATTGCAGGCTAGTATATAGTAGATAAGATATTTCCGTGGTGTAGCGCGAGCGTGTAAGCGTTGTCGTTCGCAACGCACTTCGCGTCAATTTGCGCAAAGTGAGGTTAGGTTGCGATTATGCACGTTAAACATCTGATGATTCGTATATATACTACATATGATATTGAGCCTATACTATCCAGAAATTCTATTTGGAGTAATGTAAAATAGCAGGAATATCTTTAATGAAAAAAATCGAACAAAATTGAATGTAAAATCTATAGTCGCGGTAAGTTTTTACAAGTTATTGTCTTGTTCTTACATTGAAATCTGTATTTCCGAACCGAAGAATCCGCTCGTGTAATTGAATTTAGACGAATGAAGTTAATGAATCGGAAAAAATAATATTTTAAGATATATAACGAGAGTATTGGAATATTAATTTAAAGTAAAATTAATATAAAGTAAATCAGAAATAATTAAATAAATTAATATGTACAGATCAAGAATGTATTTAAATACAAAAATGAGATAATAAGAGCATTTCTTGATCAAGGCTGGATCTTGATGCCTCTAATATAATTCTTTCAATTTATATAAATTTGATAACATTTGCCGTCTGACACTGCTTATTAATATTTTTTTAATGGACTTGAAATGCAGCGATCCAAAATTACATTTTTAAATCTATTTTATTTTACTATTTAGCATAGCCATTTACTCAATTTAGCATTATAATATTGTATAATTTGTTGATAAGTAGTTTGATTTTATAATAAAAAGGAGTTAGGAGTTTTATATATCGACAGTCTGATTTTTATAATAAAATGTGAAAATTAATTAATAGATATTTCAAGATCAATGTTTGCTGGATACACGTTATGTACATTTTTTTCAAACACGAAAAATAATCTATTATCGAGAGTTGAATATCAAAATAGAATATATGATTTGATAGTTTGCAAATTTTCTTTTAAATTTGTTTGCATAATTGTTAAATTTTAAGTTAATTTTGTGTTAAAAGACTTTCCCAAACACTAAAATAAATATATAATAAAAAAATTGTGATGTCAGTGTATTTTTAATGCAATTTAATCTTAAAATTTTCCGTCAAGATGGATGTTAAGATGGACACTTTTCTTTTTTTATAGCATTTTTTATATTGCATTTTTGCGAATAGAAAAGATTTTAATTCAACCGTTTATATAGAAATATATGAATATTTGTTTAAAACGAAAAGGATTTTAACATTTTTCCGAGATGATCGATTCGATAGATGACGTCGAGATTTCGTAAGTTATCCATAAAATAGGCAATTGCCGATTTCAAACTTATCCGATATCACAATTATCGCGATCGTACGAATCGCTCTTAAGCGGAATTTATATTTACGAACAATCGTATCTAACAAGTATTTATACAAAGTATTCGAAAACTTGTCTGCACCATTTCTTGAAGTGATTCCCAAAGTGGAACCCAAAAAGAAAGAGAAAAGCAAATCTGAAAATATTTTCCGAATATATTTTTATGTTAAAAAATTGTAATTTATTTTTCATAATCATAATCATAATAATCATAATTTAGAAATAAGAAGAGATTCAAATATTTCTCAAAGAATTTCTTCGTTATCGGAATTCCTTTGATAGAAGAAGGATCTGATAGAAGATAAGGTCTGCATTTGTGCTGAAGGTGAGTATTTGAACATCTATTTAATTCCATTTAAATACTTGTTTATGTTTATTCTTGATTTAAAAAATGATTTAATCGTACAATTTACAAATATCGAACAATTAAAAAAAAAATCAAAACTGAAAAAAGAAATACAATAAAGAAATGTAAAAAAATAATAAGAAAAAAATTTATAAAAGAGGGATGTCAGCGGACTATACTTTCACGTGGTGCATCCTGGATAACGTCAAAATAGTTCGAAATGAAATTATTTCTGTTAAAAGACTATGAAATAAATTACGATTTTTTTTTAACATAAAAGTAGATATAATTCGGAAACTCATTTCTGGACCTATTTATATTACTACTTTATATTACTTCTTTTTGTATCTCGAACTTCAAGCAGTGCGAGCGAGTTTCCGGAGACCACGCATAAAAATAATGATAAATTTTTCATTGCAATTTTTCATTGGAAGCTACGAGTTTCCATTTCTGCACATATATTACATATATGCGATAGTCTCATATGCGATTTATTTTCGTAAATACCGCACTTTATTCTCGCTGGTGGAGAGGAACCATCGCGCGAACGGTCGACGCATGGGCGGAGAGGTAGCGCGTTGCGTCGCGGCGAGCGTGCAATTTCGCGGCTCGGTCCCGCGATACCACCGACGGGGATCGTCGGTTCTATGAAACGTACTAGGTAGATTGAATATCGCCGCTATCTCCATCCAGACGCGGTTGGTCACCTCGCGATTGTGATAGGAGATATGTCTTTGGTTCCAGAGCGCCGGCCGCTTGTAAACCTCGGCAATCAGTCGATTCGCATCCATCTTCACCTCATCCCTCATGATTCTTCTGTCTCGTCTTCCTCCTTCTCCTCCTTCTCCTCTCTTTCTTCTTCGTCGTCTTTTCGCCAATTCGCAGCAACCCCGCAGATGGGGAAGTTCGCGAGCGGTGGCGAGTGGCGGACCGACAGGAACAAAGTACGAGCGAATACTAGCGCCGGGATAGCGATTAGCGCGCAGGACGCTGGTGGGTAACGATCGATTCGCGTTTCGCCCTCGTCTCGCCTCGCTAGCGCTAGCAGCCGCACTCTCCCGAGTACCTTACCTCCTCGCTGCCCTTGCTTTCGCCCTCGCCCTCGCCCTCACCCTCGTCTCACTCTCGCCTCACTCTCGCCTCACTCTCGCCTTCGCCCGCACCACACAGTCGTCGTCCGCGACTTCACCCTTAGCTTTTCATTTCGCCTCGCGCAAGCGAGTCAAGCGATTAGAGACCCGATCGTCTCGCTCGTCTCCTTTTTTATATTTATGTATACGAATAAAGTATAGCTAGCGCAAATTATATCATACATCATATATGTGCATTTAATTGTTTGGACATCTGCACATCTCACTAAGGATTCCGAAAAGAACCTATCTATCATTTTATCGCGGAAACCTCGCGTATAGATACGTGCGATAAATACATACGTACAGCTGTTTGCGCGAGTGCAATATTTGCGCGTTGATCGTTACACTCGCTTCATTCGATTTAATGTTTAGACTTACGCCTTCTTACGCCTCGCGCTCGACTAGCAGCTTCGAAAAGAATTGCTTCCTTCAGACTCATTCATTTCATTTGCTCATCTAGGACTCGTGGCACGACGACGCAGATAATAATAACATACTTGCGGACGGAATATTCGCCCATTCAATCGTCTCGACTTGCGCGGTGTATCCCCAATAATAATGAAAGACTCGGAATTGATAGCGCAAGGCGCGGAAGCGCGTCTCTATAAGGGTATCTATCTAGGAAAAACTTGTCTGATGAAGGAGAGGTTCGTGAAGAATTATCGACATCCGGAACTGGACGCGCGTCTCACCAAGGATCGCATTAAGGCCGAGGCTCGCGCCATTATCCGGGCAAAATCCGCAGGTGAAAACATGTCACGTACAAATATACGCGATCGATATAAAGAAAATTTGCGCTGAATTTACCCACGTTATCCTTTCTGTTTTCAAGGGATAGCAACGCCGGCCTTGTATCTAGTTGATTTGGAGCGACGCAGTATCTATATGGAGTATATGGAAAATGGTACGATACTGAAAGACTTCATAGACAAAAATATCTCGGGGAAGTCAAACGTAGATCACCTGCTGGATTTCATAGGACGCGGATTGGGTATGCTGATAGCTAGGCTGCACTCGAAGCATATTATTCATGGCGATCTGACCACGTCAAACGTATTGCTCAAAAAAGACTCGAATGATTCGTTCTACAGTGACCAATCCGAAGGTAAAATTTCTCGCGAGATTCTTCTTTAATTCTTAATTCAATAGTATTAAAGTAAAGATGTATTTGTATGTAATGGAATATTTTTATCTCTTATTATGTGTATTATTATTAAAGTTAAAAGAATTTTTCACTTGACAAACGCTAATATTCGCATTAAACCACGAATATGATTAAACGATAAATGGAAGTTTATTTATTGACGTGTATCTGAAACGAATTATTGTTGATAATGGTTTAAGCCAAAAGAATAAAGATTCAGCGTTTACTGTCAACAAAATTTGATACTTCAACACACTGTATTTGTCATAACAAATGATGAATTTTGTTGCTATTCTATTATTATATTCGTGATATTGTGTTCTTTCACAGCTGAGATGCAATTTATAATGATAGATTTTGGATTGGCTCGAGTGGATTCTACGCTAGAAGACAAAGCCGTCGATCTGTACGTTCTCGAACGATCGTTGCTCAGCGCGCATTCCGAAGTGCCGACATTGTTCGCCCGTATTTTTCATTGCTATCAACAGCATTATCAAAATAAAAATCAATGTGATCAGATACTTGCTAAATATAAACAGGTACAGGAACGAGGACGTAAGCGTTTGATGATTGGCTAAAAAAGCAAAAGTATTTCTAAAGATTATTTTTTTAAATCTTATAAAATACTTAAAACTTAAATACTTTAAAAAATATTTTTGCATTTAATTGCAAATAACTCTCAGTACTTTTTATGCTGATAAATGTCAAGTTATAAATAGCAAGTGAATAAGAACAAAGTCAATCATGTGACAGATTATAAGTGTGCAGAGTAGTCGTTTAGAATTAAGATGGTTTGAGAAGGTAAGGAGATCCTGTTTTTATGTAGATAAATCATATTTATATGTAACAATATGTAACAATATACGAGATGTCAGTATACAATATCTATTGCGAGGAAATGACTATTGCATACATATAATGAATTTGGCAGCGGCGATGATCCATATGAAAAAGCTATTGCTTTTTATTCATAATTTGTTATGTAAATTAATCAAAATGCAATCCTGAGTATATAATAATCCAGGTTACCTATCAACAAATGTATGGTTTATGAGATAGAAAAAAAGAAAGGTTAAAGAAAGGAAATACTGCACTCTGATTCTATTGCACTCACCAGAAAACCAGCAAATGAAGTCATAAATCCTTCCTTTGTCAATTCCCACATACCACCATATTCTTCCTCGTCAATTTGTTGGAAACTGCTAAAATATAAATATGTAATTCCTGCATTGACTACTACGAATCTGAAATACAAATGTCAAAATTTATTCAATAATGTTTATAGCATTCTGAAGATATGTAAAATCTATGGAAAATTTAAAAGGCCGAGCATAGAAAGCCTAGGTTGGTTAAACTGATATTACTACTTACAACAATAGAGCTATGAAACCTTTTAGAGGTATAAGGCCCCAACCGATACCAACGATAATACCGATCGCTTGTCTTGCCCAATATATTACATCGAGAAATTCCTCCTGCAACATCGAAACAGAAAGAAAAAATAAGGCTGTCCGATAATGATAATTAAATGAAATTTCTTCTACTTTCTACTATTGTAGATTACCGTTTCTGATAGGACACAAGATAGAGACACGATTCGAAGGTTATACTTACCTTATCCGGCCACTCGGAGTTGGCCGTAATCGCACGTGTCCATACGCTAACCTCGCATTTGGCTCCGTTCCCGTTTCTCTCCGTTTTCGTGCGCGACATCTCGAAAAGCTCGCGGTTTCAATGTAATATTCGCTAACATCAATTATGCAAGCATCGCTACATTAACATGTACGAAGCTTACCGTCGTTACGTTAATTATAATACGCGTACACTGTGCATTTGTAGAGAGAAACCTGAGAGTAATCACAAGTTACAGGTGTCATGACCGCTGTTTTGATGTAACCTCTGATACCTTGCGATACGCCATATGCCCACGGACATGGTCATTGTACGTACTACGTAGCCATGCCTACGAAACTGTTCGATAGATAACACGCTATGGATCGATTCATTGACAACTCGAAAAACATTAAATTTAGATACGTGATTATCGTTTGAATTTAAAGGTATAAAAAGCAGTTTAAATGTTCAAATTTTGGATAATGGTAATTATTCAGTTTATGAGCCTCACCTCCAATTTCGATAAAATTAGACTTATTCGATGCGTTTTTATATGAAACGAAAGAATCCAACAGAAAAAAGTGTCGCTTTGCCTCACGAACTGAAATATTAAATTGTTAAAGTTGACGACTATTCAGATTAGAAAACCTGTCATATCGACGAAATGTAGCCATGTGCGCATGTTCTGTGACTACACCCATGCGAAAGTGCGCGAATTTAAAATGTATGTATACTTATAATGACTATAAACTCATTTGAATTTCAATGATAAAAGAATATATCTATTAAATTTTCGTGTTATTAAACGGATGAATCTGTTATATTAAAAATAATGGATACTAAAAAATTAGCAAGAGCTCTTGAAATAACATACGTTAATGCATAAACTTTACTTGTGAAAAAGGATTTCCAAATCTGAGTGGAATTTTATTTCTAAGAAATTTAGAGAGTATCAGAGACTTTAAAAAGACAGATTCTAGAATTTACGTGAATAAGAAAGAAAAACAATTCTTTCTGTATATGCGGATACGAGTCTTTATTTTATTTGTTAATATTACTATTTTATTATATTATGTTTTTATCAAATTCCGGCAATAGCCGACAAAATAGATTGCAAATGTTAACATCGTTAAGTCATGCAATATCATGCAAGTTCGACGTCAGGCATGATGACATTAATATTTACAATATATTTCGGCATACGCTCGTGCAACTTTTCGCGTTCGTGTGTGTGTGTGTGTGTAATATATACACTACGCATGTGTATGTGTATATATTATATATATAATAATACATATATATATATATATATATATATATATATATATATATATATATATATATATACTATATATTATACATATATTTCGCGCGCGCGCGTGTGCGTGTATGTGTGTGTCGCGCGGCGCGCATATATATATATGTGTGTATAGAATATATTGCATACAATGCATATACAGGAATGTGTATTAGGAAAATTTAAATGCATTATATATCACGCTATATAATACACATCACGCACTCGTATGCATATCTGATTCTTCTCTCTTCTTCTCCTTCCTTGTGTGTTGTATGTATGTGTGTGTATACATATACATGAATAAAAGTCATACATTTTGATACTTTGGCAGTAATATCATGGAATAGAAATTATGAAATGTTCAATTATTTACAATATTACTGAATTGTATCGTTTGCAAGCGATTACAAATGATATAGCAAACAAAAATCGATCCGAAATACAGAGGTAGACTGCGCGAGTCGTATAAAAATGTGTTTAATGCTTATATGATTTAATCGTTTTGGCACAGTAATCGGCAGAGTCCTTTTTCTCATACAATATGATAACGCCCAATTTTTCTCCGCAGTATATATCTTGTCGCTTCATAAGAGACAGTATGCTGTGTACAAAAATCGTAGTAAGACGAACACATACGCACACGCGTGCACACACGCATATACACGCACGCATACACACACACACACACACATACACACTTGTCAACAATTTATTCTAAGGTAAAATATTTCTAAACATAGTCTTGTGTACTCAATTAATATATACAAGCAAATATATATTATTTTTATTACAAAAATTTTTAATTTATTTCGCAACTTTTAGCAACATGATATTTTGAGTACACAGGACTATATTTAGAAATATTTTGTCCTAAAAGATAAATCATCGACAAGTGCGTGAGACGACGCGTGTTTAAAAGTAAATGTCGCAAAATGCTCTTACAGATAGTATCTGTCTCTTGACTCAGATTAAGTATTAATATGAAAACTTTCTTACGCTTATGTAATAGATCGTACAAATCCGAGAGCACGTAAATTCTTTCGTAAAATCCACATATCAAGTTAAGAGAAGTACGTTTTAAGACCGTTTCTTTTTTCTTCCTTTTTAAAGATTCTTCGATTCATAATTATATATATCTATATATATCTATATATATCTATATATATATCTATGATGGTCTTTTGCGCATCCTGCACATGTAGATTAGATTAATTTTTTTTGTCGGTCTTATATTTTAATGTGTCCTACGGCAGATGTGTGTACATCTACACACATTCATATATAACATCTACATACATTCATACATATACATACATACACACGCATACATACATTCAAAATTTCTATTAACGACATCTTTATTTAGTCGCTCAACGTCAGAAAGAGAACACTCATCACAATCACAATTGCCAGCTTTTCGATTTTTAAAAACAAATATTCGACTAATGACTTTAAATTTTAATAATTTTTTTTACTTCTCTTTAGAAATAAAAATATAATAGTAAAAATTTTTGTTTTCCCTAGTTTGAAAAAAAATCTTCAACAACAGATCTTATTTTCATGACAAAACATACTACCAAAATATGCAAACTATTTTGCCTAACATTTTCTATATTTTTTCAGAAAATCAATCTTCGACAAAACAATAATTTGAATCTCCAATTAATGGTTAATAATATGATGAAATCCAATGATTACTTATCCTGTATCATTACCTGTATCATTACATATCCTGTATAATTATATGTACCATTGTATAAGAATTTAATATCAATATTATGTGATAACTAAGTAATAAAAAATTCAGAGATAATTCTCTTTTTGAATTACTTCGCTTCGATTGATAGGAATCACAGATTTCTCTTTGATTCCATTTCACTCTTATTACATATAAATTTTTTTTACATATATATGTACACACATTTATCGCTATGTATAAGGGTAAATGTATCTTAAATATTTTAGATATAAGATATATAATTCTATGATGTAACATTTGCAAAGAACATTTTCGTTACAAAAAGACCTTTCCTAAAAATTCGCAGTGCAAAGGATCGTAATAAATAATCCTATATTATTAGTCTTATCCAATTGAACGATGAAATATATCTAGAATTCTATATTCTTTAGTAGTCAGTAATGTCAAAAACGCGACGATGATTGTGTGCAAATCTGATGTCACGTTAATAATGATTATTAATGATTTTATCCGATTGATGCAATGCGTCATCAGTAAGAAAGATTTGAAAAAAATATCATGTTGCTAAAAGTTGCGAGATAAATTTAAAATTTTTGTAATAAAAATAATAGATATAATATCTACTTGTATAACAAAATGAATTCAATTTATTTAATCAATTCCATTATCCGGTAAAAGAATTAGCTGCACTAAATATAAATAATAAATACAATAAAAGCTGCCATTTAGGATTTACTGAAGGATTTATCTTCTAATATACTTTTTTTATAGATAATAAAATTGTATAATAGGAACTTTAATCAAATTGCATCTTATTTAAACATTTCCACAAATTAATCGTACACATACATAAATTAAAAATGTATCGTACTTGATGGAAAAATTAGAATGGACGTTGTCTTTTCGAACAGAAAAGTGCAGCATTACAAATCATCATTGCAGCTTGTTATTATCTTGGAAGACGCCTATCCTTTTATGCAACATATCGTGCAATAAACGTTCTATTTTAGTCGCCGCTTTTCTTAACATCCTATCAAAGATTAAAACGATTTAGTCTGCCTCGCTAAAATTGTGATGTGATTTATTCTATTTTAGATATTGCAAATCTGAAAATATACATTCGAAATGAATTTATAAAGAAAATTTTTTATTAATATCTCTTCACTTGGCAACGTAACATACCACTTGGCAAGGATTCAGTAGATTGGAAGCTTAATCTCATTAGAAGTTAATGTTAATAAAATCAAATATTTTAATAAAAAAATCGAGACGCGCAATTAAAAATAAATGGTCTCTGTACAAATATAATGAAGCATATATAACATATATAGCATATATGGAACGTGAGTATGAACGAAAACAGCTGTGTAAAAACACAGTGTCATATAAAACTAGTATAAGATTCTCTAATGTTACCTTAACAACAGATTAGTACTTTAGTTGCTATAAAAACTTTCAGTACCCCTGTCTATGTGCACGCGCGCACGCACGCACGCACGCACGCACGCACGCACGCACGCACGCACGCACGCACGCACGCACGCACGCACGCACGCACCCACGCACGCACACATACACACGTTAAAATTGATTAAGACGCTTTTTATATATACAATATTAGACTTCCTATGGCACGAAGACAAAAGCACTATTCTCTTGTATGTCAGATACGCATATGGAAGAAGATACTTGTAATAGTTGACCGTCCCAGCTTGATCAAACATCAACCACATCGTTATTGTTGTAATTGAAATTTGAATCACGCAAGAATGATGTACGTCGCAATTTAAAGCTGAGACGAGCCTCCTCAACCATTTTCGGCACTTCCGTTGCCTGCGAATCAGCACCATGCAACAGATTTCATTTATTATGCAAAAATCTAATGAGATATTACTGTTATTATATATTATATAAAATATAATTATTTAGCATACGTTATGTGGAATAAAATAAAATAATATATTAATAAAGCATACATATATTGTAGATTTACATTGGGCAAAAAAATAAGTCATTATTTTTATGATTATCTCAACGCCTAATTAATAGATCACATTCTGTTCAATTTGAAGCTATGGAATACAACAATATGAACAATATAAAATCAGGCTATTAACAAAAAATGGTTATTAACAAAAGTATTTCAACTGTGGCAAAAAAACTTCTCAAAGAAAAAAATCTATAAAATATACATAAAATACCTTAGCATCTGCTCGATCAACAGAACGTTGAAGTAACGATCGCCATGCTGCAGGTGCGGTATGTTCTAAAATAATAAGGTAACAGGCATAGCTTGTAACATTGAAGGATCTATATACATGCATGTTTTTAGTGCTATATGAAGGAGAATAAAGATGCGCGTAGTGGCAATATCTAGGATTGAGAAACAAGTCAGCAAGTCTGTTAGAGATATAACTATCTAAAATTTAACATGCGACACGGAGAAGCTGATAAATATAATACATTCTTGCTTCATTCATTTACCGTTCTCCTTCCTATCCATTTTGCTTTTGTTCAAGCTTGCTGCCAATTCTCTCACTGATCTTTTCTCCACACTCGTATTGCTTAATGAGCTTGCAGTACTGCTTGCCGATAATGTTGGCGGTAAAGAGGCCGGTCCACTAACACCGCTATCAGTTGATTCATCGAGAGCGTCGCCAGAGTCGGGTGTATTGCCGGCCGAGGTGTTCGGACTAGAGCCATCGCTTAACAGGCTAAATTCTCCTGAAGTAAAATCGAATAAGATTACAGTTTTTATTTAATCAAAGGTTTTATTCCCATCCCTTCCTATTTCCTTTTCCCTCTCTTTCCCTTTTCCATATCTCCCTTCTTCCATACTCCTCCCCTCTCTCTTTAAATAAATTTTTTTTATAATTGTGTATCAATTTTTCGAAATAAATTCTCTAAAAACTCTCTAAAATAGATAGAGACCCATGCATAAGATTCCATAAGAATCAATTCTGGTTATCCCTTACCGGATTTCCGATCGGTTGCCATACTCCATGGTCGTGGTTTAGGTGCCGTTGCTGGTGGAGTAGGTTTATTTTTCATAAGCGAACCATTGCTTTTCCCATCGCTCGTAGAGCTATTTTTCGTTAAAGGTTTCATTACTGGAGACTTGGCCGATTCAGACATATTTTTGACGCCGCCGCTATTACCGTTTATCGGACTTCTCAGATCATGACCAGTTGATCGCAGTTTAATGGACGAAGATTTTTCCCCATCAGTTGATTTTTTCATAACGTTCTTATGATTTTCCTGATCCTTTTCCGTGCTCGTTCCAAAGGTATCATCGACATCATATGAGCTACGCGGGCTCATACCAGATACATTAGTTAATATACTGCATTTAGAATCATCGCTCGTGTCATTCATGGCGCCACTATTACAGGTTTCCTTTGTAAAAGCTTCGCCTTTGCATCTCTCATGGGATTGAGCACTGTCCGTAGTATTTCTTCGTGCGAGTGGTGACGCAGTAAGCGGAGAATCGCCTTGTGATCTTCTACCAACTAGGGGAGAAAATTTTTCCAAATTGTCACTGGATCGTGAACGTGGTGCAGGTTCCAAAAGCGTTTTCAGCATCGGCGAGTTACAGCTATGCTTTTTCTCTACGTCAGGTGGAATGCTCTTGTGACTCGTCAACGATAGATTAGGACTGCCATCCGTTGGAAAAGTATGAAGAGAACTGTAAATTACAATAAATTACAATAAATAACATTTTACGACAAAATTAGAAAGAGAGGGAAGAATTATATTTTACAAAGAAAAAAAATTATATTTCGAGACTACAAAAACAATATGAAAGAATATTATATTTACCTATCATCGCTCGTAGGCGAGATCAAAGGTGTGGTAGGTGTAGTAGGTCGGAAAAACACATCAAGACCTTCGCCCAAAGCGAGACCATCGATCGGTTGATCCGGTCTTAACATCGGTCTCGTGGGTGCTCGCGTTTTTGTTCTGCGCGGTCTGGACTTGACCAAATGTTGCAATTGCTGACCCACGGTATTAGGCAATTCCGAGACAGAGTCCAACGATTCTGTCAATGAGTGTTCGGTTTCTGAGATAGCTACAGAATAATAATTACATTTTATCATCTGAAATTCATGACATAAACGATCAATACGCACCTTCCGTTTGACTCTTTGGCAATGACGGCAAGAGATCTGGAATATCATCTGCGGACAATCCCTCTACCGAATCTACTACTGATTTGGGTCTCAATTTCTTCCATGCAGATTTTTACGTTTGTTCGATAGATGTGGCGTTGCCTAAATAGAGAAAGACATCATGTTCTATAAGATATTTATATATTGTACAATTATTCATATTTTACACACACGCACGCACGCACGCACGCACGCACGCACGCACGCACGCACGCACGCACGCACGCAATTGTTTCTGTATACACGCATATTTCTGTTTATAATACATACCAGATTAAGATAATCCAATTTCTATGTAAGCGTGTAAATAAAAATAATTTGTGTGTTTTTAGGATACGTGTCAAACAAATTTAAGAAATAAATTTTGGAAATATATAATTAAAGAACATTCTTACCATTGGTGATCGATCACTCATGCACTGACCAATAGAATCCGCCAGCGAACATGTTTCTGGCGGGCAATCTTCCTCGGACATGAGGCTGGCTCTGCCAGGAGGTAGAGTCATAGAAATACCGCTGGCACTAGTTACACCTATCACGCTTCCGCTACTCATCGAACCAGCACTAGGTCGTAAAACATCTGGTGTGCTGCTTCTTGTTCGACTATCACAATCCCCAATCTATAGAAGTATTTATATAGTTATATCATCATAATACCAAAGTATTCAATAAGTATCAATAAAAATCAATATCTTTTTCCCAAAATAATTAATTAAAAGTATAATATTTACAGAGATTTATGTTCATTTTTCAATTTTAAATTCTGTATATGTATAAACTGAAAGATTTGATAAGAAAATAATTTACAGAAAATATCAATGAAAAACTTAAAATTTAAAAATTTCTCGGGAACTTTTCTTTAAAAGAAAAGAGCAAATATTTTGTGCGGTAAAAAATGTTAATATTAATACAGCAAATTCAAATTAATATATTCACAAAGAACATTCTGACTTATTTATAAGTTATCTTTACTTTTATTTTTACAATTTATCAAGAGATGTAGAAAGAATATAATTTTAGATTTAAAATATTGACAACTCAAGAGCGAGGAAAACAATAATTTTTAAACTAAAAAAAATTTTTAGCAATAAAGATTAGCAACGTCGAAATTTTTATTAAATGGAACTGATCTTTTTATCCTAGCTATCTATTTATTTAGCTAGGTATTTCCTTAACATTAATAATATATTTTATTAGCATTAAAGGGTTTATTAACAGTAAAAGTTTTTAAACTTACAAGAGTTTTATAACTTCTTGATAATGATTCGATTACTTCATCCGTGATTCTATCAGATATATGCGCCGCAACTGCTAAATTTAACTCGCTAAATTAAAAAGAGTTGACAAAAGAAAGGATTAAAATTCTTGATAACAAAATTATATAGCACATTGTATATTATGCATCGAGATTATTAATCAAATGCTTACTTGACTCTATTAACAATATCTGCGCCAGCTTGTTCGGTAACAGTGGTATGTATGAATTCATTATTGATTTGGTTTTTCTCTTTGCATGTATTACGAAGATCGTCTCGTACCACAATCGGTTCGCTCTCATCGCCCCTGATCACCATTTGTGAAAGTATAGTAGGACATTGCTCATTCGCGCACTTTAACATCGCATCCAAAGAATCCTGCATCGATCATACATTTATTATATTACAATCATATTATTTCTTATATGAAAATAATAGCTATTTTAAATAATTTGTAACTTACATTAACCCTCCGAGGCATAACTGAGGATTTGAAGACCGGAACGATTTTTCGACTTTGAATTATTCAGTAAACGATAAACGGAAAAGATTGCCTTGCTTCTCTAAAAAAAATTTTTAATAATGACTTATCGACCAAGTAATGTATTTTCAATTGTGTTTTGTACAGCGACAAATCAAATTCGAGCTTGTTCTTCCAGCGATGTGCCGATGAGTTAGTTTTTGCCAAAGTAAATGAATCATATTTTTTGCTATTTTTAACCTTTATTTTAATATATAATATAACAAAAATTATTTTCATTATAACAGATATAAAAAATTAGAATAGATCAACAGATATTCAAACGCTCTGTAGAGGATATTATATCTAGTTACACGAATGATTGCAATATCTAAACTGTTTTGTAAAAAATTGTTTTTTTTTCTGTGGGAAGCGAAAAAATTGACGGAATCGACAGAGATTAGAACTCGAGGTTCTTTGCTTACGATCCGCGACTTTAGTATGATCATAATAATGTATGACTTATATTTTTTTTCTCAAGTACTGATCTTAAATTATTTGAATCTAAAAAAATATTTTATGTACATATAAAAAAAGTTATAAATTTTTTATTGCAGCATTTTATCGATTCCATCTCAAATTCGGATTTGTAAATAAAGTAGAAAACGTTTTGACTCAAACAACTATAACTATCGTATTCTCAAATGTCGAAAGAGTATAATTTTTTTCAAATTTTTTTAGAGCCCAAAAATCCTTTGAAAAACACAACCGCCTTCAATGATTGTTGTGTCGATTAAGCGGTGAAAAATATGTTGTGCCTCGGAAAGTTAATAAAAAAGCAATCGAAAATTCGCTAAATATACATACCTGTAGATATACTGTAATAACTTTATGGAGTTCATTCGCCATATCGTGTAACTTTAGCTCGATTGGATTATTTTCGTCACGTCTTTGAAGTACCTCGTGTAATCTTGGCAATAGCTATAAAAAATATGACATATTTGCATAATACTTTAATTTCAATTATATCAAAATTGATCCTTGAAATCAGTTATACCTGTTTTGAATTATCTGCATCTTGTATAAGCCCGGTTGCATAATTGATATCATTATTAGCATCACAGCTTTCCGCTGCGAGAGCCTTAATAGTGTCTTGGGTTTGTACGACAAGTCTATCGACCATTTGCTGTGTGGAACTTAATAGAAATCCTTGCTGTAGCCGAAATGCTTGTCCATGACTATACTTACACGGCGTGACGTTTCTCTGCAATAAATCCTGTATTTTCTTAGCCAGCTGCTCCGTTTTTTCCGTAGAAGTTTTCATACAAGGCTGCAGGTCATAAATCGGAAATGGCATGTGCCGTACACTATAGTTTCTGCAAGAATAAATTCTCTTGTAAATTTATCATATCATTATTATTCTGATCGTACATATATATGTACGCGTACTTTTCTAGCGCGTGAACAATGTCCGCGTAGCCTTGTAACGTGATGTTATTCTTGTCGTATATAATGGTCCGTAAATGATTGTTAATCTGTAATGCTTTTGCCAGTAATCTCCCACCAGGATCACCTATCTGATTACCACTAATGTCCAGAGTATGAAGACATGTGTTGCTACCAAGAGCATTGATCAGATTGTAGAGATCGCCTTTCAATCGAGAATCAGGTAGATGTAACGCTTGAAGAACGCAATCGTCTTCCTGAAGCATCTGCACAAGGGCATCCATTACAACAGCTATGTGTTTGCTTTTCATGCCAATGGTGTTATGTCCCATATATAATTGCTTTATCGATTTGTTTTTGCCTATTGCCGTTATAACTTGTGCTAGATCAACATCCATGTCTATAAATAAAAATATCAATCTGTCTTCTGTGGAACAGATTTTATGCATTTCATATATGGAATAGGGAAACTAACTAAACATTTTTTATGACTTATGTAACTCTATTTTGATCGTGATAAGCAGGATTGGCTAAATTAATATTATTTTTTAAATAAATTAAAGTTGACGATCTATAAAATTAATTTAGCTAGGTTAAAAGTTACATAAAAACTAACTTAGTTAAAGATTTGCGTTAAAATTAAATTAAAAATTAATTTTAAAAAGTATTATTTATATTAAATTGTAATTTTTTTAAATTAAAATATTTTAAATAAAAAAACAATTATAATATCAAATAAATTTAATATTTTATTTAAGTTTCTATGAAATAACAAAGAAATATTGTTTTTTTTTAATATGAGAATGCGTTTTTTTTACAATTTTTTTCTACATAGGTAAATTTTTAACTTATGAAAAAAGTTAATAAGTTAAAATTGTTTTAAAAAATTACTTGAAAATTAATTCTAAAATTAATTACTTATAAATTAATTCATTTAAAATTAACCAAGTTAAATTAAAAGTTAATTTCTTAATTTTATTAATTATCTTTTAATTTTTTAACTAGTTTACTACTCAATTCTGTTGATAAGTGACATTGCCTCAATTATACATACTGCTGTCCGATATATCCAATGATGCTATACATCGAACTCCATGAATACACGATTCCAGAACATGCGCGCCCATAGAACCTAAATTATTTCCGCTCATGTCAAGTTCTAGGCCAACTGTACTTTCGTTGCATGCCAATCCAAGTAATAGATGTTTTAATGCTTCTAATGGTAGTTTGCACGAAGATATATTTAAGTACTTCAACGAGAGAGTTGCCGTGAAAAATTGTTTAAAACTCGGAGGTATTTCTTTGGTCTTCTTGCTCGAAAAAGAATTCCGAGCAACGTTTAGATGGACTAGATTAGTTGCACAACCTCGTAATAATGCACCAAACAACTAAATCAAATCATAAAGAACAATATCAATGATCATACCAATCAAATGTCAATTATACAAGTTACTATTTAGAAAAAGATGGTATAAAATTAATTACTTACACATTCTAAAGTAGTATCTGTACCGCTAAGATCTAAGTGTGTTAAGCTATTAGGTTGCGCCAAAAAATTGCATAAATTCTGTAATCGTTAAATTAATATATGAATTAGGATTTTGTAATTAGTTTTTTTTTATCAAAATCAATTTGCGATTCAGCCCAAACTCACATTAACATCATCTTTCAAGGTATTCTCCGAGAGATTCAAATATCGCAAGCTAGTCGGCATGCTTCTGTTTAAGCTTAACGCATGCGCTATTTGGCTTACACCTTTCCCAGTTAATCCACAATGAGCCAAATTTAATTTCTGCAAACCTTTAGGCAATTTGCCGATAGGACCACTCAAATGAGCACCACCTTAAAAATATATCATACATTTGGAATAATTTAATATATTAACAAGGATGTAACTTTTTATTTTATTTTAAAGATCAATACTACGTATTTATATATCAACGTGGCGCTTATATAAAATAAATATTTAAACTATTATTTTACTCAAAATAAAAGAAAAGAAAATAAATATTAAGTCTTTCTAAAAAATATAAAACAGTGCATATTTAAAGAGAAGGAGAAAATCGGATATAGAAACATGTCAAATACTAGGAATAATATAACTATTAGGGATAATTAAAGTACATGGTTATTGGCACACCTTGCATTAACTTGGCTATTATCCCACACAAGCTAGAGGCTCCTACAAAAAATATTAAAAAAATCTGTTCAGGACATTTTTGAAATTATGGTTAACAATTGGAAAATGGAGATCGCTTGGGTGCTCGTAGTGCAGATGAAGATGTCAGATACAAAAAAGACATTATATAAATCATAAATTAATATACCTTTATCTTCGATCATATTGTGCGACAGATCTATTGTCTGCAGTATTGTGTTAGCATTAGAAATCAAAGCTAACGATAGCTTGTGAGCGAAATCCCTTTAAAATTGAATGTTTATACATTATAACTTTATATTTTCTCTATATTAAAATAAAAAGCTACTCGCTTAAGCGATTACCATTTAATTCCAAGATTATCCAAATAAAGCTCTTGAATGGACAAAGATCTTCGCATGACATGTAACAATCTCTCTAGGGGCTCATGATTCAGTTTGAGATGGGATGCTCTTAATTTCGTAAACCAAGTATTATATTCTAAGGCCGAAATAATTGGCACCAAGTCTTTCTGATCTAGATGATCAAAATCTCTCAAATTTAACTCTCTGGTGTCATGCGAGAGGTATATTGTGTCAACATCCTGAAATCCATATCTCTCTGAATAAGATTTTCATAACAGATAATTTTGCAGTGTTAACATGAATTTGAATAATGTTGTCAATCTCACCCAGGCCACTTCCTCCCTATATGGTACACCATGCAAGTCACACATGCATGCATACTGAGTAGAAAAACCACCACATGGTCCTGTATGCCTTGTGGCTTCTGTGCTTCTAGCTAACTCACTTCCTCGTATACTTTGCAATCTGCTAGCTGGTATTACTTCTATTTTTCGTATAATATAACTGAAAATAAAATTTCAAAATATGCAATCAGTGAAGTCTCACAGATGAAAGTGCTCTTCATATTAATTTATAAAATAAAACGATACTTTAATGGTACTGTGGGAAAGATATTTCGAATCGCCGTATGTAAGGCCTCTATCATGGCATCTACTTCTGTAGTATCCCCACCAACACTGTTTGTAGTAAAATTGTAAAATCGTTCTCCAACAGTCAAACATAGCTGATTCGCTCTTCTTGATTCTACAGCTGTTATTTCCAGGTAGTGAAAATGGCAGTCAATCTATAAAAGAACAAAATTTAAATGCTATGCAATAATGCAACAAGAATGGAAACATAATTAGATCAAACTTACTCTTGTAGGTACTTTGGCCGATAGAAGAAAGAGGCGACATGGTGAAAATACCTAAGAATAGAACAAGAATCAATTTAGTTTTTGCTTAACACAAAATAAATTATAAAGAATAGAAAAGAAAAAAAAATAAGACAAAGCAGAGAAAGGATTTACTTACAAGAACGCGATTTTCTTGTTTATCCTGCTTCGTTTCTAATTTCACCACGTTTTTTAACAGTATTTTCACATGCTTGCCAAGTAGTGCTTTCACCGATTCTGCAAGTAATGAATAATTCACACAGCCGTATCTTTACATGAATGAAAAATAACACAAAGCATACAAAGATTCTATTATCTAATTATTCCATTTACTGCAAAAAGGATATAACAATCCTTAGTTAATCGTGAGATTCGTGTAAAAGGCAGCGACGAGATATTCACATCGATGATGGAAGAGATTGTTCGAGAATGCACGAATGACAGCTTGCTCGACTTATGGTGAACGACGTAAACACTTGCGACAAATAAAAGACGAACCGTTTAAATCCTTCGTAAGTTGCGACCGGGTTGACATTTTGCTAGCTGAAGTCTTCCATTGAGATGTTCCATCTAATGTGTCGTCTCTCCTTCTCTTTCTCTCCTCCCTGTCTTTCTCTCTCTTTTTCTCTCCTTTCTCCCGAGTTTTTCTTACTTTTCGTCGATTAAAAGAATATTGTCGGAACAAAGGGCGATGTCACGAGAAGACGAGCAAGCAGTACAACAGCAGCCATGTTAGCACCTGTCCACGATTGGACCTGTCTGCGACGATAACCGATGATCGGTGACGATGACCGCAATTAGGCTCTGAATATCAAGTGAAATACCATTGAGACTGTCGTCAGAGACTCTCTGTCCAGTTACGCCCTCTCGCGACATATTTCATAAAGCGAGCGAAATACTCCGTAAGGCCTGTTCTACAATGCGTTGTGTGCGGTGTCGTGGGCCGTAAGAATGGGCCAATCACACTCAAGTATTCTCCCCACATTCGATTATGATTGGTCAATTCTTGTGGCTTGCGACACCGACATACGATGTATTGTAGCAAACCTAAGTAAAAATCGATGTAAAGAACCTCTAGCAGAGATATATTTGAAGTTTAGTGAGAGCGAGACAGAACATTTTAGTGTAGTTCAGTGCAGCAATAAAGAGCAGATCTCTGATTAGGTATTTAGCTCGCGCATGTGCAGTTCAATTTCGACGCGCATCACGACTTACATCAAAGGTGCCGACAGCAAGTTGTGCTACTGTATATACTGTGGTGTGTACAAAGATACGAAATTTCATAAATATTCATGTCACGCCACACATGTACATATCGTAATCTTTAAATATTATAAATTACATTTTTAAATATTACAAATTATAATACGCGATCGGATTCAAAAGTTATAGTTTAGTTATACTAAATGTTTCCACTATCATAAAAATATTATGTTTATATGAACGATCAAAGATCAAGGTCTCTAATTTATTTTCAGATTCTGATAGATTTATTCATATTCTTATCTTCGTGATTTATGTGCGCGTTCTTATCTAAAATCATAACTACTTTTACAGAACAAAATTACATTTGCACATAATTAAATTCATCGATGAATTAAAAAACTCACCTATAATGAATTAATAATTCAATTTCTACACTTTTCATGTATAATTGATATATAATCTAGTAATTGATATAAATCTAGTATCTCTTATAAGATTCTTTAACCATTTCATTCTTTACAGATACAATGTCAATTTTATTTTATTTATAGTTTAATCAGCATATCATCTGTATTTAATATTCAGTTATTACGAAAAAGATTAACTTTTCATCAACCAATATGACTATTTTAAAGACTCTTATTGCTGGAGGACAGATATGTCTTAGAAGATCTTATACTACAGGCTTCAAGTTTATTGAAACTACACAAGATGATACAGGTAATAACATCACTCCATCAATTTCTAATGTATAGCTGCTTTCCATGAATTTTATTTTGTTCAATGATTGAACAGGTATCAATATTATATCTATGGCTAGAAAGCCTGTCAACAGTTTGAACACAGAACTGTTAAGCGAATTAAAAGCTTCTTTATTGGAAGTTCAAAACAGTCACTGTAAAGGCATCATATTGACGTCATCCTTACCAACCATATTCTCAGCAGGATTAGATATTATAGAAATGTTCATGACTGATAAAAAGAAACTTACTGATTTCTGGCAAACGTTACAAGATACTTGGTTGACTATTTACAGCCTACCTATTCCAATTGCTGCTGCTATCAATGTACAGGATATTCTTTCAATTGTTATACAACCCTTGTAATAATTTTATGCAACATTCCTTTTTATATAGGGTTCTAGTCCTGCTGGAGGTTGCCTATTGGCAATATCTACAGAATACAGAGTTATGACTGAAGGCAAACATACTATAGGATTGAATGAAACACAATTAGGTATCGTTGCTCCAAAATGGTTCAGAGATCCATACATTTCATTGATGGGTTATCGACAAGCTGAGTTAGCTCTTTTGAAGTATGCAAGATATTTAAATATATTTAATCCTCTATAATTTAATTTTTTCATGTTTGAAGAAAATATATGATGTAAAGTGTAAGATGTTGATTTTGGTATATAAATAATTCTTAATTTATAAAGATTTATCTATTTTATTATAAACATTATTGTAACTTTAAAGTCACAGTAAATGACGAAATATGATATTTAAGTATAATATATTTTCGCATAAAACAATAATAAATGAGATAATATTAATTAATAATTAAAAAATGAATAAAACTTTAATATAGATGTATAGATGTATGTGTACATGACTTTTTTAAAATTATATAAAGCCATAGAGGATGAATAAATACATGAGATTTTTATGATATAAATTTTAGAGGATCGCTATTTAAACCTGAGAAAGCATTGCAGCTTGGACTTGTGGATGAGCTTGCTAAAGATAAAACAGATGCGATTGAAAAGTGCAAAAATTATATTTTAGCTTATGACAATATACCAAGTAAGAGTACTTTATTATAATTATAATATTTAATTATAATTATAATTTAATATTATAATTTTGCGTATTATCATATATTATTATAATCATATATTGTTATCCATTAAGGTATGGGAAGGAATGTAACCAAATCAGATTTGCGAAACAATTTGATTCAGTGGTTAAAAGATAATAAAGAAGCTGACATCAACCAGTTTGTCAACTTCACACAATTACCGAAAATACAAGCTGGCCTTAAACTTTATGTTGAACGTTTGAAACAAAAGCAACAATAATCATTTTAGTAAAAAAATATATATTGTATTTTCATCAAAGTTTTGAAAATTTTTATATAAATATATATATCAGAATATATATTATATATTAATAAGGTGATTCTCAGTATTAAGACAATATGAAAATAAGGCAAATGAGAATATATTAGATATCTGAGAGATATATATCAGAATACACACACACACACACACACACACATATTATATATATATATATATATATTATTTTATACTGCTATATAACAAACATGATATACTCTTGTTCTGTAATTTTATTTTGTACTGGCAGATAAAAATGTAATACATTGATTAATAATTTTTCAATATACCATTATCATTTAAATCGACACCTGCCAAATCTAATTGTTGTAAGCTTAATAAATTAAGCTGTTGTTGTTGAAATTCAAAAAAATGTGATATTTCTAATATGTGTTGACGATTCCTTTTATCTTCATTCCTATTAAAGTTTTTTTTTTATATAAAGTATATCAAAATAAATGAGTAAAATTTTGTTACAATAGTAATTACTTACACAATTAATTGATCAACATAATCTTTGAGCCAATTATTAAATCGATTTATCATGCGCTCCTCTCGATCATTTATTACCTGCAGATTATATTAGTCAAATATCATAACTATGTTGATACAAATTGTTATTTTAATAATTTTTTATGTTTACTCGTAAATGTATATCGTGCGACGCAGCAAGAGTTATAGTCAAAATATCTTTATTGCCACATAGATCTTTAAGATGAGATGGTATATGTGATTCAGTCTCAAAACCATTTAGATAATATAAAACCAACTCATTTATAATATTATTATATTCAATTTCTGCGTTGCGTAATAGAGAAAAATTTTCTCGTGCAAGTTCTATAAATGTGTTGACCATATCCATCATATTTTT